AAGACAAACATAAACCTGAAATGGAATTTATATAAACGGTTATCCATAATGTGCTGTTGTATATGAATACTAATTTCATTTCATATTTTGCCATAAACCATCATGGTAAAGCAATAAAAATAATGGATGATAATGAAAAAAAAACAGGTAAAAGTTAAATGGAAAAAAAGTTATGTCATAGTTGAATTTCAATGGCAAAAAAAAAATGAATTTTCATTTCTGCTGCTGTCATTATTATATAATAATAATAATGGAAACCTGTTTGCCAATTTGAATGAATGAATGAATGAATGAAAAAAAAACCGAAATCAATCGTCCTTATAAAATTCTATATATATTCAGATAATGACTGAATATATATGATGAGTCAAAGTACAAATATTTCAATGGAGTATTCTTCTGTGAATAGTTGTGATTGGGTGGGTTGGGATGGAGTTCTGGGGGGAAAGGTTGCAACTGGTGATATTATCATCAAACAAAACAAAATGCAGTTTTTTTTGATGATGATGATGATGATGATGGAAAAAAACGAAAACTAAAAAAATCAGGTTGTCAGTTTTTGTTTTGTTTGTATTTTGTTAATAGAGAATAAACTGGTTTCAATGAATAAAGAATGGCGGCCAATTTTTCCTTTCTATTCAATTCTATTGGATGCAGGTAACTAACCAACCAACCAACCAACCATCCATTCTACCAAACATCAAGATCATCAGACGTCCGACGACATTAAAAATAAAATCAAGTTCGTCGTATAACGACCATTTTCAAGGTCGTATGAATGGATTCAGCTATCTTGTTGATGATGATGAAAGTTATTTCGACGAATAAAACTAAAAATAACAAAATTATATCAAATCGATTGAATCTTTTTCTCATTCTATTTGATTTTCTTATCCATACATAATGATGAATATAAAAATGATCAATACTTGAACAATACGAATATCATCATCAATGGGATTAATCATTTGATTTCGACTAACATCGTCAACATATTGCAATATCCATTGTTTGATATTTTTTTTTTTGCAAGCTAAAACCACTAATGAATGAATGATCATCGTTCATCAGCATCAGTTGTTTGTTATTGTGAAAACAATGGACCCCCGTTTTTTTTTCGCTGTTATTTTCTTTTATTTTCGTTTTTTTTTGCCCCAGTAATTTCATTTCATTCTCCTTCATCATCATCATCATCAAATGAAATAAATATAAAAAGTTTTGTTTCCCATCACTTAGGTAGTTGATGATGATGGCTACTTTTATCATTATAATAATAATAATGTCTGACAATCAGTCTGGAATTTAAGTAATTGCATTTTGAATGTTTTGAAGAAGAAAAAGAAGAAGAAGAAGAAGGGTTGCCTAAGTGATACAACAAGTGTCTGAAGGATACTGATGCACGATGAATGAATGAATGGATGTTTTTTTCCTTCTTCTAAATTTCTCTGCTGCTGTAAAAATGATTAAAAAAATTTAACGTTTTTTTTGGAAAATAAAGAAGAAGAAGAAGAAAACGTTTTGTCGTCGTTTCAAAATAAAATAATAATAATCATTTCATTAGAATATTATAATGAAATTTTTTGTTTTCTGATTTGTATGAATGATATGGATGATTTCCATTCACATCAACTCTGATTGCTAAATTTTCTTGTAATCCTCGCAATTTTATTATATTTTGTTTCTGTTGTTTGAATGAAATAAAAATCATTCTATCTGAATCATTATTGATTGATGACATCTTCCAGAAACGAACCAACAAACAAAGAGAAAAAATCCGTTGATTTACCTTTATTATGATTCATTTGGTTTTGTTTAGATTTTTGGAAATCTGTTTGGTTGCGAAATTTGTCTTAGTCATAAAATTTTTTTCCATAAACTTTTTCAAATGAAATTTTTTGTTTTTCATTGAACAAAATACATTACATGGTTAATACATAATCTAATGTACCATTAGATTATTTCTATCAATGTTTTCTTTTACCGTTTGATTCGGTTAATCTATTTTCAAGTTGGAAAAAAAACTTGAACAAATCTAACTTTTAACCCTTTATTTTTGTTTTTTTTTTTGAAATCAACATGTGTGTACCTCACGGATATTCAGAAAGTAAATAGTCAAAGAAAACCCTAGCAAATTTCAAAAAATAATTGTTACATTCAGTGAAAAAAAATGTTGAATAATTTTTTCTTGTTTCTGAAAAAAAAAAAAAAAAATGAAAAGAATTATAATTATTTCATAACGTTTAACGTTTCTTCTTGTTGTTATTGACGAATATGTTTCAATCACTAATAAGCGTTATTGGAGATTTTTTTTCCCTTACATTTTTCAACAAAAAAAAATCAGTTTTGAATTTCAGTTATTGGACAACAACACAAAAAACAATCTTGTCTCTTTCACAGAATTCTGTTAATCGACTTTTTTTTTTGTTTTTTGAAGGTCAAACATGTAATATTTGTTGTTGTTGTTATTGGTTTTCCTATATTCATTTTAGTTTTTTTCCAAAATCATTTATTTTAGTCGCGTTGTTTTTGTTGGTGTTCGGTGTGTTTAGCTAATTTCATATTCATTCATTCATTCATTTGGATTTCGATTTGTTTGAAAATAGAAAAAAAAGAAGATAACTGTCTCTAAGGTTGTCAAATTGAAATTCTTACAAAAAAAAAACATTTCATCGAAGCTAATTATCACCACCATTACCACCAAGATTGTAATAGATGATTTTACTCTTTAATCAATCAATGGTGATGATGATGATCACATACTGTGATGATGATCATTGTGATAATTATTATAATTGAGAAAAAAAAGTAAAAGTTTTTTTTTCTCTGGCCATAACAAATCAAGAAAAACCTTAAAAAAGAAATGAGAAAATGTTTTCTGATTTTGAGAAATAATCGAAATTGAAATAAGCGATCCAAATAAGAGACAGTTGAAAAAAGTAACAAACATTACAGTTTGTTTCAGGAATCGGGTTGACCATGAGACGTTATGACTAGACACTTCTTCATTTTTTTTAACCAACAAATGAATCGGTTTTGACTTTGTATTAAATAGTTATCGTCGTCGAAACCCCATTGCCAATAGTTGATTTTTGTTTCATCATCATTTTTTGTTTTCATTTTCTTGTTTTCACTTTTTTTTGGTTTTTTCTTCAATGAAAATTTAGGTTAGTAAAACTACTATTATCACCACCAATGGTGTTGCTGTAACGGCGATTGTAGGTGATACTAGATTGTCGGTGGCGGCAACAATAATAACTAATCATCATCTTTATGTTGATGAGTATTGATGACAATAAGAAAAATTTCAATCAGGAAATTCAACACACAAAAAAAAAATCCCAATAAGAAATTCATTTTGATATTTCTGTTTTGCGTTTACCGCCCGCAATAAAGGGATTGGTCTTTGTTGATCATCAATGAAAAAGGAGAAAAAACCGAAGAAAGTAAATCAAAAACTTCAATCCCACCGACGACGACGACGACTATCCCATTGACATCCGTTCAGGCCTAATTTTACTTTCTTGGATCAAATGTAGTTCAGACACTTATTACCCATCTACCTACCTACCTCACTGCTACTACGTTATATAAACTGTTATAATTTTACGTTAGACCTACTTTCTTGGACCTAAAATGTTAAATCTGGATCATGTGTATGATGTTGTGAATAATATCAATAGTAAATAAAAGACCCAGATGTAGGTGTAAAATAACCTTTCGTTTTTTTTATAAATGAAATTTTAAGTGTGTGTAGGTCTTATATTTATTTGAATGAAATGAATGAGTTATTCAATTTGTAAGGTGTGTGTGGGTAAAAGGTTATCTTGAAAAAAAAATTGTGACCCTAAAAAATTGTTGTTGTTCTTTTTTGTGTTTTAATTTCTTTAAAAATTTTCGGTCTATTGCCAATCCTTATTCTTCGGGTCAAATCGGGTGTATATATCGGTCATATCACGAAGACCGATATCTTTTGCTTTTTGTTTCTTATTTCACCGAAACATGATTTTTTTTTATCCAAATATATTTCTTTTTATCATTTTTGTTTTCTATTTCGTTATACAATCGATTATATGATCGGAACTGTTCTCGTTTATTGCTGTAAATTCAGTTGTTTCTTTTTTCGTTGTCTTTTCTCTCTGATGACCAATATTAGATTTGAATGTTTATTTTTTTCTCCTTCTATTTCCTCCCCCACAATAATAGGTCAAAACAAATGGTATTTTCTTTGTCGAAAATGAAAGTTTTCATCACACCCTTCGTTTTTTTTAATGGAGACATACAACAGCAGCAGCAAAATACATAAACACATACAAGACAGAAAAAAAAATCGGAATCGTCATAAAATCTTTATATTACGAAAATTCAAAATGACGCTACTGCTTTGTCAAATTTGAATGAATGAATGTTTATTACCCTCATCGATAATGGTTACTGGTGCGATAAGACTTTTACATTACATCAACATTGACACAATTTTGAAATGAAAACTACCAACCAAAAAAAAATGTCAATTTTTTTTGATGATCCAAATGCTACTGTTGTGTGTTAAGAGTGTTGAAGATATTACTACATTTCAAAAAAAAAAAAAAAAATATTACGAAAAAAAAGAAATCATTTAGGGTTATATTTTGTTTTCGGGTAAAGAATTTTACTTTCATTTGATTATATGACACTTATTATCTATGATATATATGTAGGCAAATATAGATAGATAGAGAATGAGTCAAATCAAACGACTCGACCGAATAAAGTGAAAGTGATTTTCATTTTTTTTTTATTCAAAAAAAAGAAAAAGAAAATCGATCCGATCCTAAATGACTTTTTTTGTTGTTGTTTTTTTGTTTTCCTTTGTTAAGAATTCAAAATGAGTTAATTTAGAAAAAAGTTTTTAAACGACATTTTTAAAATGGATATTTAAATTTCAGAATTTTTATATAAAATCAAAAAAAAAAAATTCAAATAAGATATATTATTATAGAAAAATTCTATATATCAGGAAAATATTATTCTATCACGATGATTTGCTTTTTACTTTCGCTTTTTATTATAATACAACAAAATCTTCGGATGATAATTTCTGTACATTTCCATGACGATCAACAAGTCTATATTCCATTCGTAATATTCGATCCATTGATGATGATGATGGTTCATTCATCTGATATTCATATCGATTTGATTCCAATGAATATATTGGATAACCACCACTTTTATATGAATGATCAAGCATTTGTTGAGAAAAATTTATAAATTCATCATAATCTTGTTTAGTTTTTAAATAGAAACCTATCGTACAGCTTGGATCAATTGATGTTAAAGAAATTCGTCTTGGTGATATGCAATGATAACTTTCTAATGGAAAATTTGTTCTTGAACCAACATCAATACTTTTCTGACAATAATGTGGATCGATAGCAAGTAATTTGTCATCTTGATAGCCCACAAAATATAATGAATGCCGTGGTTTACCACCGATTATGCCCAAACATGAAGATAATGATAATATTTGTTTCAAATATGGTGAATAAAATTTATTGAATTCATCACCACCTAAACGTACAGGTATCAATATTATTATGCTACGCCATTGATCATTCGAATCATCATCAAGAATTGCTTTCGAATTCGAACGTATATTTTCATTCTGACACAAGTCTACAACGTCCTGTAAATAAACTAATGAAAGGAAAAAAATTATAAAATTACGGTTATAAAAATGTTTATAGTAAACATACCGGTGCAATCCTGTGCAATCAAACAACAAATATCACTTAGCAATGAATTATCTTTGGCGGCATCTTCCAACAGGTTTTTCATTATGATCGATATGGATGCAGGACCAAACCAATCTCCTGGATTCTTACCAAACAAAAGTTGCCCTTGTCGTATGATTTCATGTATAGAAAATGGACTTGTAGATCGATCTGGCACATCGGCAAACCATTTAATTATCATTCGATGTATTAGATCATCTTGTCCTTCCCATCGCCAATTACGACCATGAAAATGTGTAAGAAAAGCTTGTGCCATTATCATTTGACCCGAACGGATCATACAACCCCAACCATTATCGGTGGTAATCGGTGTTTGCAGTAATGGAGGAAAATCACGTCGATATGTTAGCCATATACGACTGTAAAAATCTTTTTTGAATTTATCATATGCATAGAGATTCGAACTTTGTTCATCCGATAGGCTTACAGAATCAGACATTTTGCTATAGTACAATTGACCAAGAACACATATTGGTGAATTGAAATTAAATTTATTCCGAAATCGGTGATTGAATTCTAAAAATTATTGAAAAAGATACATATTAGATTGAAAGTAACATCATATGAAAACAAACCATATTTTACTGTATTCCACATTGAATAAAACGCAGATCTGGTGTTAGAGTTTGAGGAACTTTGGATTTGATGATGATTGTTAATCGATTCACAGGATCGATGTTGATTTGACAAATTTAGAGATATGGTTGATGTCGAGGAAGATGATCGTTTTTTTGATGTTGGATTGCAGCGATTTTGATGAGGATTGAAACGATGATGATGATGATTATTATTATTATAATGACCAAATCCGTTATTAAGATTATTTTTATCTTCATTTGTTGCTTGTTGATATTGTTGTAATGTCATACTGCTACGTCTTGCCTCTGCTTCCATTTTTAATAAATAAAATTTTAGATACAAATCAACAATCAGGTCATCTGGTTATTTCCTTGAGCAAATTTATTGCGTTATTAAATGATTCATTTTTTAATTAATACCGGATTTCGATGAAAAACAAAGGGATCCTAGTAATTTTTTTTACCATAAAACTAAGATTTTTTAATTTTATTACGATGTAAATAAAAAAATTCGTTCATCACTATCGATTATTTTAGCCGATTTATTACGGGCCATCGGTCTCGGCGTGCTATTTACATTGGTGGATTTTTTATTCATGAGCTTGAATTGTTTGGTTTTTTTCTAAATTTTTGGAGTAAATTATTTTTCCTTCTTTCTCATTCTTTAATTCAACCAATAATCGACATAAGCACAATTCAAAATGGGCCCTGGATCGATGACATCAGTGATTCAGGTGACCAATGTAGCGCCGGTTGTCACAAATGAACAGCTTCGAACATTATTCACGAATGTTGGCCCGATACGCGAATTTGTTTGTTATCCAACAAGGTAAGTCTAACATTTTTCGAAATGGGCCATTAAATCCACTATTTTCGATGATATAGTGATCCGTCACAGCAGATATCACGTGTTTGTTATGTTCGATTTGCCGATGCAATGAATGTTTGCGTTGCACAGCATCTAACGAATACCGTATTCATCGATCGAGCCATTATGGTTAAGCCAGTTCACGATAATCGTATACCTGACGAAGCGTTAGCATTAAAATTAGCCAATGAAGGCCATCTTCAGAATAGCAGTAATAATGGTGTCGTTTCACAAGTAAGTTTTACTTTGTCATTATTTTGTCTATTTCAAACAACGAATTTCATCATTGAACAATTAGATCGAAACAGTAAATGGTGTTCAATCGATTACAACAATTGACCCACGTCTAAATGCATTAGGCTTGCCACAATATCCACCGTTATCACCAAGTTTAGATCCGGCTAAAATAGAAGAAATTCGTCGTACCATTGTCGTTTCAAATGTCAATAAACAGGTAATTTTTCTTTTAAATTAAAATTTTAATTAATATTATTTTAAAAAAGACAACACCAGAACAATTATTGGAATTTTTTAATCAATTCGGTGAAGTTAAATATCTACGTATGACAACTGATGAAAATGATGTTATTAAATCAGCAATGATCGAATATACGGATCAATCATCAGTGGCAAATGCTTTACAAAATACTGGAATAACATTCCAAGGATCTCAATTGAATCTTACTCATGCATCAACCAGTATACTCAAACCACAATATAAAATCAATGGTATGCAAAAATATTTATTATTTAACAAAAAAATATTTGACACTTGTTTCAAATTTTTAGTTGATCCAAGTAAATTTCCTGAGACTCGAGATCTGGTACCGAAACCAAAACGATCACGATCAAGGTCGATTGGAAGAAGCCGTTCAAGTCGATCCCCTAGCCGTAGTCGAAAAAGTAGTCGAAGATCGCGAACACCAAGCCATCGCTCACGTGACCGTAAACGTTCATCGATTTCTCGTTCACGATCACCGATTCGTAGATCAAGTCGTCGTTCTCGATCACGTGAACGACGTGAGCGTTCACCATATTCTTCATCATCAAGACGTAGATCTTCACGTGATCGTTCGTTTTCACGGGAACGAATACGTAGTAGCCGACATGAACGATCCAAAGATCGAGATCGTGATCGTCGTCGTTCAAGCCGAGATCGAAGTATGGAACGGCGGCGAAGTTATGATCGAGAAAGAGATCGAAGTACTCGAGATCGAGAACGTGAACGTTCCGAACGAGATCGTAAAAGACACGATCGCATTCGAGAAGAAAAAGATTATGGCCATGAACGTATTCATGGTCGTGTTGAACGAGAGAGATCAAAAAAACGAAGCCGTAGCAGAGAATCCGAACGAAATCGATTACTGGAGCGACGAGATCGACGAAAAGATGGCGTCGTTAGCGCTATGTCTAGTGGTCTGATTGAGCGTCATGATCGGCATAATCGTTCGCGGTCACGATCTGGTTCGCGAATAAAAATAATGAAATCACCGTTGACCGGTAACAGTCAAGAGGAAGATGAAGCAGCAATGATAATGATGATGAACAAACATGAACATGATGATAAATTAATGAATCGTACGGAAAGTGATGATAATATGGATTTAGTTGATGATGATGATGATGACCATTCCGATAATATTTCTCGTTCATCTTCACTACATACAAATAATGATGGACAACAGTCACAACAAAATGAACTGGAACGAATGACAATAATAAAAACGCCAGAACCAGAAAAAGTTCTGGCTGATAGCGATGAAGATCTAGGCCGTGCGGATATGGACATGGATGATGATGAAGAAAATGATGATGCCCCTGCTGATAATCATCATCATCATCTTAATGACGATGATGTTGATGATGATGACGTTGAAAATGGTCCATTACCACCGTCATCGATTAGTACGAAAAATAGCAGAAACGAAATGGTCCCTTCGGATAAACATCATCATAGACACCATCATCATCATCATCGTCGTTCATCACCAATACCACCTCCATTACCCCCTTCATCGTCTCGTCATCGATCGTCTTCTTCATCTCAGCATCATCTTAGTAGCAAAAGTAGTCGACATTATAAAAAAATCGGAACTACGGGACATCATCGTTATGATTCAGATGATGATAAATATTGATCGTATAGCATGAAATGAAAGTTGTTTAATTCATTCTATTTAAATTAATGAATCGTATTCAAAAATGTTCCGCTCACAGGCACACATACATACAAAGATATTATAAAAAAAACAAAGAACTATTTGATGCTAAAGAAATCGAAAATTTATTCATTTGGAGATATTTTCTGATTTATAATGTCCAATGTCAATGATGCTTTCATTTAGTTCTTATTCATTTTTTATAAATGGTAAAAAAATTTTTCGCACTATTATCATAAAAGTTTAAATAAAATTTACATATAAAAATGAATCAATCTATTTGAATTGATAGTTGCTGTCAGATTTTATTTGACATTCGAAATCGATAGGAGACGTCTTCACTGGATTCCTATTTGCTCAATATTTTTTCTTGATTAATGATTTGAATATTCTTGGTTTTTATTGCCATGTTTTCAATGACTATGACATTAATGACAATCGTAATAAAAAAATGGAAAAAAATCAACATTTGTTCAATGAACGCAACTCCAATTTTGATGACATCATTTATTTGAAAGTTGATTGCTTATAAATGTGTTTAAGATTAAAGGATTCAATAAAAAAAAAGGTTTCCAAAATGAAATGATGTTGTTCGACATTATGATCACGATTCTTTGCTTAAATACGCATAAAATTTAGAAAAAAAATATTAGTTTTAATGTATTGAGTCAGAAATTTAGAATGAACCACAATGGTTCCAACAAAATGGAAAGCTCTTATCTATTTCAAATTATAAAATTTGATTCTTTTTTCCAAATTTCTTTTTGTTTTATGTTTTTTTTTGTTTTTGTTTCAGGGTTTCCCATATTACTTTAAATGATGATAATGATGGCGACCATTATGATCACATCATGGTTGCTGCCATTCTCCATTACAATTATTGTTATTCACATTCACTTTCCATTTTTTTTTCATATATTTCATCATCATTCCCATTAATATTATTATTGTTGTTGTTTAGTTTTCCAGTGGGAAGAATTTATCTCTATTCCCCATTTCAACCTTACATTGGAACTAGATTTTTTTTTCATTTTTTTCTCATTTATTTCAGTGACACGCGCGTTATCATTTCCGAATGTCATTTAAAAATGTCGCCTTTAGAATCAAATAGAACGTTGTTGTTGTTGTTGTTGTTGTTCGAATAAATTCAGCCACAACAACAAACAATGACTTTTGAACAATAGAATCGAATAATTTTTTTTTCTACATAAAAATACAGAACCAAAACCATCATTTTCATTGATAATGAAAACGTTTTCGTTCGAAATCTTTAGATGTTGTTTTTAAAAAAAATTGATTATTTCCAATGGGCAACCTGTTTTTTCTTTTCGATTTGTTTATCTGATCCAGATATTCTTACTTATTTAGGCAAAAAAAAAACAATACAATAAAAAAACATTGGTTCATCACTAATGAATAGGACAACAACAAACAATAAAAAAAGGGAAAGAATTCTTTTTTATTCAATTACAACAACAATGACAACAAAAATTGATTGTATAATAAAGTAAAAGTGTATATGTCTATGGTGGTGGTCAACAACTTTTCTCTCATTTGTGTCAAGTTTTATTTCATTCTATCTGAAATAACAAATATATTCGTCCGACACACAAATATTGTATTGTCCAAGATAAGGAGATTGTGTTAAATACAACGAGAATACACTGAGAATAATTTTTTTTTTTGGCGTAAAAATACAAATAAACTTTTAATGTCTTCAAACAAAACAAAACAAAAAACAACAAAGTAATATCTATGGTCCATCCTTATGTGATTCAAAATGTTCAATTCGTATTTCGATCTTAATGTTGTTGTTGTTGTTGATGATGATGATTACTGTTATGACAATTACAATTTTAGTCATACTATTTCAATAACAACAACGACAAAAATCCATCAATAATGATTGTTGTTCTATTTTCGAATGGTAAATTGCCTGGCTAAGTTTAATGTGTGTTTGTCTGTATTAAAAGAGGATTGATTGAAAACAATTTAATTGTCAATACAGAGAATTGTTGTTGTTTGGTTGTTTCACAATCGATCGATTCTATAATTTTTTTTTCTTTTTTCGTTTCTTTCAAATTCATTCATAATGAATAATGGCTGCCATTGACAACTTGATTGGTGTGTTGTTATTGTACATGTTTTTCTTGTTGACAACCATTTTTATTTTCAGGTTTTATTCTATTTTCCTGTTTTCTATTTTGATTAGATATTTGATTCGAATTTTTCTTTCGGCCACCTTTTTTTTTATTATAAATAGCCTAATAATAAATTTATAAATGTAAAGAAAGAAATTTGAAAATTCTTGCTAAATAAAACATTGACGAATACACAAATTTCATTCAAAATTTCAACTCTTTTTTTTCATTTGATATAAATTGTCAATATTTCAGAGATTGGCATAAACATGAAATGAATGGAAAATATGTATTTAAAAGAAAATTTCCGGAATGTATTTGAATAAATAAACAAATTTTTTTCCTCAAAAAATACTTTTATTTGATTTATTCTGGTTATTTTCATTTTATTTTTAATATCGTTAGTCTTTTTTTATCATTCAATTTATCGTCGTTGTTGTTATTATTATTTTGGATTGTGAATAAATCAAAAAAAATATTTATAAATAACGGTAACCACCACCACCATCATCATCATTATTAATATGAAATTGGTAGAAATTTATCAATCGATCGATTTTTTTTTGAAATATCAAATTTTTCTTTCTTTATATATAAAATTCTCAAACGGAATTCTCTCCTGTATACAGGAAACATATATCATCATATATCGTTATTTACATATTATTATTTTCTTTGAACTTTTCGCTGTGTTTAAAAATTCATACATGAATTACATTTTCAAAACAATTGAAAAAGATATAAAAAACAATGTGTTCATGTGTAAAATAGTTGTTTTTTTATCAAGAAAATATTTTCAAATTCTTTAACCACGACATTTTTTTTTCAAATAGAAAACAAAGTCATCATCAATATTGTGTGTGGTGGTCCATGGTGTAAGAACCAGAAATTTTCCCTGACCAAGAAAGAAATTTATTTTTTTGCTATTGTTTTTGTTTCAAAAAAAAAAAAAAAAAAAAAAATGAAAACGAACCCAAAATCTGGATCTCTTTGAGATCATATCTCTTGTATTTCACTTTTGTACTTTTTTCTTTTGNATGGTTTAAAAACCAGAAATTTTCCCTGACCAAAAAAAAAATTTTTTTTTTTGCTTTTTTTTTTTTTTCAAAAAAAAAAAAAAAAAAACAAATGAAAACGAGACCAGAATCTGGATCTCTTTGAGATCATATCTCTTGTATTTCACTTTTGTACTTTTTTCTTTTGAATTAATTCTCTTGTTTTAAGGAAAGGAAAACAGAATGATTGATTCTTGTTGTTGTTGTGTGTGACCAATGCTGATGTCGATATTTTTTTGTTCATTCTTTGTTTGAAGAATCAGCAAAGTCAAAAACAAAAAAAAAATTTATCCGGTTACTCATGTTGCTCATTGTTTTTTGTTGTTGTACAGAGAATAACAACAACAACGAATCACGCAAAGTGAATGGTTATTTTGAAATCACCCCAATAAATAAAAAACAAAAGAATGAAAAAGAAACCAAAATTGAAGAATATTTTCTTTGGACAACATTGCTGTTTAAATATCATCTTTGTGTAGAATTTTTCTTTTGTTTTCATATTTAGTTTGACATTTTATTTGTCGCTACCAAAAAACAAATTCAGATTGAACTTTTTTTTGCATTTCTGTTCATTCATTTGATCTATCTATTCTGTTCTGTTTGACTGATATGATCGATTCGAATCTAAGACACAAACACACATATATTTTTATTATATTAAAAAAAAAATGTTTGGCTTCTTTCACCATTGTTATCATTATTATAATCCTTAACTATTCTGTGACTATCTCTTTATACCATATTCTTTTATACTCAAATATTAATGTAATAGCAACAAAAAAAAAATATCTAGTAGTTTTTTTTATATCTAGCTAGATTCATTCAATTTTTCGAGGTCGAGATGGACACATATATTTTTGTTTTATATGGATTTCTTGGATTTCTTTTTCTTTCAATATGAAATTTTCTTTTCGTAAGAAGAAAAAGCTTCTGTCTGATTTTTTTTTTCGTTCATATTATCAATATTCTATTCTGTATTCTGTTTTTTTTGGCGCGCTATTTTTTTTGCTATAAGCTTCTTTCCATTGATCATCATCATCATCTATGGATGCTATTCTCTGTGATTTTTTTTTTCCTTTTTCATACTTTATTTCGCTGTTGAAAACATTTTTCGCTTCTGTTGTTGTTGTTGTTGTTATTTTATATATTTTTTTCTGGTAGCTATCAGAATACAGCCTGAAATATATCTGGTATTTTCTGGTGTATATATAGGTCATGGGACAACGGAAATAAGCATTCCAGTCTCTACTCTCTCTGTGTGTGTGGGTTTCAAAACAAGCCAGAAAAAAATTACTATGAACAGAAAAATTTGGAAAAAGTCAAACGACCATGCAGATTGCCACCGTTAACGCCGCTATCGTTATTCGGTCGAATAGATTTGAATCGTCGTCATCGTTGTTTTGTTTTTTCTGGGTTATTTTGTATGAATAATATGAATGAATGGATAAACAACACATCCACTTTTTTCCGCTTTTTACCAAACACACACACACACACCCTCAAGAATTCTGATATCTGAATATGCCGTTATCAAAACAGAGAGAAAAAAAATTTTATTCTCATATCATAATGTTAGATTCTTACTCCATGCGGTCGATTCTATTCTATTTTTTTTTCTCTCTCGTCATTTATATCTTTGTGGCCCATATGGCATATAAAGCTTTGAAATGGATAGTGTTGTTTATCATTTTTTTTCTTTTGCCATTTTTTCCTATTCTTTTCTTTTTTCTTTCATAGCTTTATGCCGAAACTGGGAAAAAAATTCCAATAATATCAACACTAAGAATGAAAAATACAGTGCTTGTTGTTGAAATTTTTTCTTTAAAAAAACCAGAAAAAAATATTAACTATCCATATTAACAGTTTTCGAATCTCCGAAACAAATTTGCAAATAAACAAA